TAGGAAATCTAACTTAGCAAGACTCTCATCTCAAAACTACAAGATTAAAAAAAGCCTGGGGTTATAGCTCAGTACAGAGGGTTTAATCCTCTGTCAGAGGTGAGGGGGTGGGGCTGGCTGGTATGTGGTGCTGGGGGATTGAACCGCGGTCCCTGTGCCTTGCTAAGCTTGTTCTAAGTAGGTGCTTTAGACCACTGAGCCATCCCACCAGCCCCGGTTTAATCCTCTGTACCACAAAAAAAGTAAGGCAACTGAGAACAGAGGGAAAAGACTGATTCCTACCTCCTGAGATTCTGACACAAATATAGTAGAAGACAAAAAGACAATTCCATTCCAGACTTCAGGAAAGTTGTGATCCAAGGGGTAGGAATTCAAGGAAGAGGTTAGGGATGTGGGAAGCAGTATTTACCACAAGCGAGGCATGAGAGGTACCAGATATTCAGCTTCAGCAGGCAAAGTGATGTTGAAGGCTGAATCAGAGGACAAATAGCTCATGGCAACTTACAGGTGAAATAAAAAAGATAATTAGGTCAAGTATTTTATTTACATGTTGTGTGGAGAGAAAAGATGTAATAACCTAAGGTCTGGTGGGCTTAGCTGGCATCAGAACTGGTTATGATTCCTCCCATCATACCGTGGTTTGCTTGATTTAGAAGCTGATGCCTGGAGAGTTCACCACATGTGGTCTTTCTCTCTTACTCACTGCTAGCAGAGGCCATTCAAAAGGGTCAACCTGACCAAGACACAAAACCATCCTATCTCCTGGCCCACACAGAGCAACTCCCTTCTGCACAGCAGCCTGTCAAACTTCCACTGTTCTTGCCAGAAAAAATCCTTAGCAGCCTTAGCATCCAGGATCACAATCCCAATGTCCAGAAGGAAAAAGAGTAAATAAGATCCAAAATGTACAATAAATATTGAGAAATTGGAAGAAACTTCAAAAGGAAAGAGAAACTGGGTGGGAGGAATGGAGAAAAGAAGGGAAAAGCAAAGAGAGAAAAATACATACATGTAAAAGACAGTTACAGTTGTTTAAGCACCTGCTCATGCAAATGTACTCAGGCACAGGATACCTCGGTTCAAACCCCACCTCCACCTGCCTCACCAGACCCACCCTTAAGGCAGGCTGAGGAAGCCAAAAAAAAAAAAAAAAAAAAAAAAAGTTAAAATAGTTATACTACTAATTTTTCTTAGTTCATTGAAAAAAGATAGAGGGCCAGCCAAATAGCTCAGCGGATTAAAGTGCCTGCAAGCAGGCACAGGGGCCAGGGGTTCAATTCCTGGACCTGCAGTGCTAGTGACTGAGACTGGGCATGGTGCGTGCCTATAATCCCAGCACTTGGGAGGCTGTAAACAGGAGAATCACTACTAGTCCGATCTAGTACTGAGACCCTGAATACCCTATAGACCCTTCCCTAAAAATACAGGAAAAAAGAAAAGACAGGTTTGGGCTAATATTGTTTGGATAATTAAATGCTGGTATCTTGTACTCTGAGTAACTAATTTAAAGATAACAATACATCCAGCCAGATAGCTCAGTGAATTAGAGCACCCGCTTAGGCAGACACTGGGACAAGGTTTGATCCCTGACATGCCGTGCCAGCCCTGTCCCTAGGGCACACTAAAATGAGAAGGTAACTGAGACTGGGCATGGTGGCATGCACCTATAATCCCAGTGCTTGGAAGGCTGAAAACAGGAGAATCACTACAAGTCTGATCTGTGTACTGAGATGCTGTAGATCCAATACTAATTAAAAAAAAAAAAAAAAAAAAAACAAGCTTCTGGTGAGATAGCTCAGCAGAATAAGCGCTACTTATGCAGGTGTCCAGTGTGGCGGCTCATGCCTGTTATCCCAGCAATGGGGAGGCTGAAAACAGGAGGATCACTAAGAGTCTGAGCTGTATAGAGAGATACTATACCAAATACATGTAAAAAAATTTAAAAAAAAATTTAAATAAGTATTACGCTTCTTTTCAAAGACAGACTTCCTTTCTTTCCTACTGTCCAGTCACCCCATTGACCCCCACGCTTTCTACGCAAGAGAAAGCAAGACAGTGGGAAGCCTTCCTTCCACCACTCTGACTCAGCGCTGCCACTTGCCTAGCCTCTCACTACAGAAACTTACGAAAATACACGTGTATGCCAAGACTCAAAGAAAAAGTTAGTCCAGTCTGAGAAAGAAAAACACTTAGCCTCTAAGGAAAAGTGGCTTACTATAAATCAGGCCCTGGAGACTGATGCCATTCAGATGCTCCCCACAGTTGTTAGGAGACTTATTAAATATTCAATAATTAATAATAATGCCTTCAACACTGTCTCTCTCAAGGAACTTAATCCTGTAAAGGAAGTCATCTATAACCAAACACGGGCCTCACTTTCTGCCAACTAACCAGATCATGGTAGTACAGGTCATTTATTAGTAAAATGGTCTAGCTTCTCTGTCAGGAATCATCCACAAATGGATTACTAAACAATTATTTTAAAAAAAGCTATCTGGGCCAGGGATATAGCTCAGCAGCATAAGTGCCTTCCTGGCAAGTGCAAGGTCTTGATTTCAATCCCTGGTAACACACACACACACACACATACACACACACACACAAAGCTATGTGATCTAGGTGTGGTGACACACAACTGTGATCCCCAGACTTAGAAGACTAAGGAAAGAGAAAGACTGCAAGTTTGAGGCCAGTTCAAGCTGCATTACAAGTTCAAGGCCAGCCTGGACTACACAGCAAAACCCTATCTCAGAAGAACAAAAAATACAATAAAATTAAAAAGCTAACATCCAACCTCCAATATGACCCCAATGGTCTTCATTTCCTGATGCACAAACCCTCTTCCTACATTTGTACCAATGTTGGTCTGTGTGACAAACAGAACACAGAGGGGCTTGATATAATATATTCTAGGGAGACTTTGTAAAGCATTCAAAAGAGGTTCAGGTCATAGAACACTGCTGGAGGCTTTGGGCACTCTTGAATCACCTGCTCCAGGGAAACCAGGTATCAGGTCAGCTGGCTTTCAGTGAGTAACTAAAACTGACCAATAGCCACATGAGTGGAGCTGGAAGCCCACCTGGCCCCGAATCCAGCCTTCAGACAACAGAGCCTCCTGAAAGACCTGACTCAGAACCACCCAGGTAAGCTGACCCCCAAATGCCTGACCCACAGGCACTACTTTCAGGTGCTACATTTGGAGGTATTTGTTACATGCTAATAGATAATTCATTAACCTACAAAGAAGAAAATCACAGTTTAACTCTCAGTCCCAACCTACACAGGCTCATTTAAGACCAATTTCTCTGTCCATAAAAAGCATTCCAATTATTCACTTAACCATCAAGTTACTTTCGAGTGTCAAATCTGAGAAGGATATTTTCAAATTACATGAGCCCTCATAGAGTCTACAATTTTCTTTTTTTGGGGTGGAGGGGAGAACCCAGGATTGAACTCAGGCCCTTGCACTTGCCAGGGAAGCACTTAATTCCACTGAGCCATCTCCCCAGTCCCTACAATTTTTTTTTTTTTTTTTTTAGTACAGAGCCTTCAGGGTCTCACTGCGTAGATCCGACTTGTAGTGATTCTCCTGTTTTCAGCCTCCCAAGCGCTAGGATTACAAGCACGGGCCACCTTGTGCAGTCTCAATCACCATCTCAGCCCACCCCCTACACCGGTGGGGGGGCCAACACGTCATTCCGGGGATCAAACCTGGAGCTCCACTCTGTCTAAGCAGTCGCTTTAGTCTGTTGAGCTATCTTGCTGGCCCTTTAGTCTACAACATTCCGTAAAATAAAAAGAAATAACTACAAAGACACATGCACACATATCTTGAGCTACACAATCCACTGAATGCATCGCTTAAGTTTTCTTCCTCCCAATGCTTACAAACCCTCTCCAGAAGACATATCAAGCCCACTCTCCAGCTATTTTGAATGCTTTGGGCCCTTCTCACTGTAAGTTCAGCAAGTTCCATAGTCTCATAATTATTTTTACTGTACTACATGTCCTCCCATCTAAGAGGAGAGGAAAGTTCTTGTTTTCACTAATGTTAGAACAAGGCAGAATTCATTTAGTATTTGACTAAAAGGAGGAAATTCTGCTGGGTGCTGAGAACAATTCAACTGTCTACTAATAATGACTAAGTGGCAAGACAGACACTGATACAATCGCTGCTCAAGTCCTGGTCACAGCAGAAATAGTGATGGGGGTAGGGAAGAGGCCGCCTCTGCCCCTCTCTGGACTCTTCGGTCTCTGAGAGCAGCAGGAAGGTTGTCATTCAGAGAAAATCAGGAGCCTCCCACACTGCACAAAGAAGGTCAAAGGGCAAGCCCTCTTTCTATCCACCACAAAATCCGCCTCTGCCAAACCTAAACAGTGTGGTAGGCCATCGGAGGTGAGCGAAGCTCCAGACAGAAAACCACAGTGCGACTCTCCTCCCGCCGCTGGCTGGGGTCTGAGTCAGGTGACTACTCCAGGCAAACAGCAAACCTAAACAAAGATCACTGCCCACATGACTGACGGAGAAAACGGCTCTCTCCCGCAAGCCTAGGGCTCGCAGTCGTAACCCAGAAAGCCATGAGCTCTCGTGTCCTTGCAGCCCCGGGAACGCAAGGTGCTACAAGTTACTCGGTGGCTCAGCCTGCAGGCTGCACCTGGAGGAACCTGGGACACCGAGCCTTGGGCACAGACGCCCAGCGCAGCACGCTCGCCTCCGGCCCAACCCGCAAACAGGACCCCTCCCCACCAGCTGTCAGCACGGCGCTCGCGACCCGTCACAGCCAAAGTCGGCGTCCGCAGGCCGCTCCCCCGCGCTGCGACCCAGCGGGGGCGACACAGAAGAGATGCTTCTGCCCAGCGCTCTGGGGGCGAGGGCGGGCCCGCACCCCGGGAACAGGCGCCAGGGTGGGCGCGGCCCCCGGCCTCGGGCGGCTCGGGATCCCGTACCCTCCCACCTCCGGGCGAAAGGAGCCTGCCCTCCCCAGCCCCCGGCGCCCTACCTTGTCACCGAAGCTGCGGGCCACGAGCAGGTCCGGGCTGGGCGTGCTATCGCCTCCCACGGCCTCCTCGCTGCTGGAGCCGGCCAGCGGGTGCGGCATGTCGCGCAAGGAGTGGGGCCCAGAGGACGGCAGGGCCTTGGGGGGTCCGCCC